AAAGCCCCTAGTCACCGGGTAGTACCTGTGGGGGGGGAGCTAATCCCCACTGCCCCATGCTGCATGGGGGGCTCTGCCATGAGCTCCCCAATGCCCACCCACTCTCCCAGCCCTCCCTATGGCTGTGCCACCTGGCCCAGCTCCTGGCCCTTTAAAAAAAACAAACCAAAAACCCTGGACTCACCGGCTGCTGCAACGGCCTCAGGGCTTCTGGGGGCTTATGAAAGAGCCCCCCATGCACTGCCCCCCCGCCCCAACAGCCAGGCAGCAGCTGATGAGTCCAGGCTTTTTTTTTTAAAAGTGCCAGGAGCTGGGGTGGGCAGGGCAGCCATGAGGGTGCTGGGAGAACAGGCAGGGGTCAGGGGGCTTGTAGCAGAGTCCCCCACTGTGCGTGGGGCAGTGGGAGGCAGCAGGGATTGGCTGAGGCCAGTGAGTGCGGGCTTTTTTTTTTTTTTCCTTCCAAAGAGCCAGGAGCCGCAGCCAAATCAATTCGGGACACTGATTCGAATCACTGAATCAAATTGCTGTCCCCCAAATCAGCTGAATCCGAAGCGAATACTAGGCACTTCGCACAATCCTAATGCTGAGTGTCAGAGACCTGACACTTCCTCACCCCAAACATGGCTATATTTTAAGAAGCCTGTGTATATCAGACCTTAAAATATTTGGGGTTTCTTTCAGGGAAGAAAAAGAAATCTAAGACTATATTCTTCTCTCAGATGTGACAGCATACCCTAGGGTTTGCTACAGAACTCATGCCTAGGTCACATCGGCTTAAACAAAACCAACCAACCAAACCCCGAAGTCCAAAACTATACTGTCCATTCCTAGAGACTGAATAAATTCAGGACATGCTCCTGCTTCCAATGAAGTCAGTGGGAGTTTTGCTATGGATCTCCCTGGGAGCAAAATTAAGCCATAATTTTAAACATTTATTATGCAGCTGGAAAAGCTGTGGAAGAGATGTGTAACCTCTGCAGCAAGGGGCTCTTTCAGGGCAGTCTTTCCAGGCCAGCTTCCTTTTTTGCAAACTTTGAAGAAGTCACATTTTGCCTTGCATAGCCAGTATAGTGACCTCAATGATCTTGAGGTAGATGCACAATAAAAAAAGTGGGGGGAGGAGGAGAGAAGGAGGAAAGTAAGAAGAAAAGGGAAAAAAAAGGAAAGAGTAGCAGCCAAAGGGCTAAGGGATGCAGTGTCCAAGGAGAGAGAGGAGGTGTTTCAAGCCTAATCCACCCTACTGGTTGCTACTTATTGATAATGCCCAAGTCCTAAATTTGCAGTTGCTGCAATGAAAGGCATCACCCATCAAAAATCTTGCCTTTTACACACTGATAAGACATCCATTTGCAACCCCCCATTTCAGCATCACCGGTTGGTGCAGTTCTTTACCTGCCATTTTTGTTGGAAATGGTTCCTGGAGAAGCTTTGATCAGACAGGAGCGGACCTATTAGAGCGGAGAGGGGGAAAAAAAAGGCAGATCAACTATGCATCTTTGTAATTCATATTCACAGCACTAAGTTTCAAAGGTTTCTTTCCATAATTTTATAAAGTCTATGTTTGTTTATGAATGATTCTACTCTTAAGATTGCCAGAGCAGCTTGCTCACTGCAAACTGCCCATCTCCACACCAGGCCGAAACAGCATCTTTGAGGGAAACAGGAAACCCCTTGTTTGTATTAATGCAATGTTATCTTTGGAGGCGTAATTACAACCTCGGTGTCATCAACGTTAAAGATTTTACTGTTCAGCGCTCAACAAACTTTTTTGGTTGTACCTGGCATGGTCTTAAGCTGCACAGGAAAACTGCTGCCAGCACACGTGTGCACATTTGAGCTGAAGCAAGACAGCAGGCCGAGACAGATGGGTCTGGTTTGGGCTCGGCGGACAAAGCAAAATACACACAGAGGAAAAGAAACCGGTACTAGCTCACCAGACATACAGCCTCATTTAGGTACCAGGATGATCCAACTGCTCTCTGACTCCCACAGTGCTTTCCGCAAATGGCAAACAAAGAGTTAATCCAACCTCTTTCCCCATCATTAGTTGGCTGGGAAAGAAGTTTTCCCATAAAAAAACCCCTAATAGCACTGTTAGTTTCACCATCTCTGATAAAACTCCTTCAGGCAAGAGTTTGGTCAGCTTTCAGCATGGAGCGCAGAACGGCTGGGGAATCCGCATAACCTTCATTGAAAGTTACTGTGGAATCATGCAAAAAATACACAGAGCTCTCCGAAGTAAACTGATTCTTTCCCAACCCCACCAGAAATCATTGCAACTCCTAGGGGTGCACCAATACAGAGTTTTGGGCCTGATTCCGATAGCTGATTTTTAAGGAGGCATATTGGCCGATACCGATCTGATTTCCTATACAGCACAGGGAGCTGTGCAGCTGGTAAGTCTGCTGTGGTGGAAGGGGAGGAGGGAGGGAAGAAGCATGGTGGGGCAGATCAATGCCCCGGCAATGAGGGAGGGAGTGGGGCTGGGGCAGGGGACGGAGCTGTGACTCATTTGGGGAGGGCGTGGGGAGGATGGGGTGGCTTCCAATGCTGCGCATACCCTGGGAGGGCACGGGGGGTGGCACGTGCCCCCAGATCTGCACAGGGTGGGCTGCCACGCTGGGCTCTTCCCAGTGGGGGCTGGCCCGGACTGTGCTCAGGGCAGGCAGTGGTGCTGGGAGGGGGCTAAGCAGTGGGGCTGCAACCCCCCCAAAAATTCACCGTAGTCCCCCCAAGCCCTCTTCCCAGCACTGCCTCTGCCTGCCCTGAGCGCAGAGCAGCCCAGCCCAGCCCCCACCCCCACTGGGAGGAGCCTGGCGCAGCCGCAGCCCCAGCCTGCCCTGTGCAGATCCAGAGGCACATGTCTGCTCCCCCACCCCATGCCCTCCCAGGGTGCACACAATGGTGGGAGATCCCCCCCACCACAATGAGCTGCAGCTCCATCCCATGCCCTGCCCCACCCTGGCTGGGCAGCCCCAGCCCCACTCCTACCTCACCGCGGGGGCTGTGATCTGTCCCCCGGTGCCCCTTCCCTCTCCTTTCCCCGTCCACCACCACAGACTTACCTGCCACATGCAGCTCTCCAAGCTGCCGGCTGTGCTCCTCTTCACCTGTGTGTTGTGCCGCGGCTGCATGCATGCACGGGCCATTTATCGATCACATCAGGCCAATTTCTGAGGTAGCCAATTTTCTTTATGTTGGTGCTGATCCGATACCAGACCTATGTATCGATGCACCTCTAGTAACCCCTGAAATGTCCAATCCTGCAAGCTTTCCTCATATCACTAGCTCCACTTACTTCAGTAGAACCAATCCCTGTACATTTATACGCAGAAACCATGCATGGCAATGATTTCAGTAAAATCCAAGTTGAAAACAAAGCAACAGTTAAAATTATTGTTAAGGGCAAATTCTAAACCAGAATTTCAATGCAACTGAGTTAAGGGAAAGTGCGTTCAGTTTAACATGGCACACCAAGAAAATTCTCCCTTGCATGCTATGTAGAGCAGGAGCAAGGAGCTTGTAAGCCACAAAAGCCAAATTCTACTCAAAGCGCGCTCTCTCTCAGCCTCTATTTCCTCTTCCACCCTTCACCTGCCTTATTAGTCTCCTGGTCAACACAGACTCTGTACTGTTGCAAAGATTTTGATTAGTGATTTTTTTAAAACTGATCTAGAATGGCACAGCCTGGGGTATAGATGGTTTCATTGGCATACAAATGACTTATACCAGTGCAACTTACTCCCCTTTCTGTGCAGGGAGAGCTCTACTGCATAACTGCATACACAGAATAGATCTTGTACTGCTTTAGCTGTACCAGTATAATGTATAAGGCAGGGTAGATTTGCATCTTATAGACTAACCAAAGTAGATTATATTTATATTCTAATTTCTCTCTTCTCCTTTTACTCTGTTTTCTGCATGTCCTTTCACAGCATCTGATGATATGATGATATATATATATCTCTCACAAGCTTCCGTGGGCTGAAGTTTACTTCATCAAATGCTGTGAAAGGACATGCAGAAATCAGAGTATAAGACGGAGAGAGAAATTAGAATATAATCTACTACATATATTATATACACACACATGCACAATTAGTACATACACACACACACTTTGGTTAGCCTATAAAAGGTACAAATCTACTCTGTCTTCTCCTTGACCATATACAACAAAAGCTCTACTCGCGGCAGCAAAACACAGAAGTGGTACTTCTGGTTTCATTTTTGCTGTGTCCATCAGCTGCTGGTTAATAAGAGTTTTCCAGCTAATAAAGTACCAGTTAACACAGCTTTTGCTGTACTAACATGGCTAGCTATGTCTCTCTGCACATAATTAATGCATATAAAACTTATGTAGATTATATATTATACAATTAATTATACAATTCAGGGCAGGGAACACTCCTTGTGCAAAGAGGAGCCGTAAGCCTGTGTCAAAGTACACACAAATGACAGACATCAACCCCACCCAGAAGGGGTTTTGAAATACCATTCTGATGTAAAGGCAATACTTCTGTTTTGCATTTTTTTCATTTTAAATGCAGGAGCAGAAAATTAAACGTTAAGACGATTCAAGTTCAAATAAAACTTCTGCCCTTTCCCTCGAGGATGCTGCTGATGGAGACTAAGATTGCTGCAAAGAGCAAGTGCTTCAATTAAAACAAGGTTCTTTGGGTAAATCTGATGTCAATTAAAACAAGTTACTTTTAAATGCTGGTATAAAAGAAAATTTGTCTCTAACATCATTATTAATGAACAAATGGGGCAACTTCAGACTAGAGAAATCCGCATTTGATGCTTCAATTCCAATATCAATTCTTACAGTTGTAAAGGAAGAAGAACCATTTAATGGTTACAGTAAAAGGCTGGGATAAAGAATTCCTGGATTCTATCCCTGGCTTTACTGGGTGCTGGGGATCTTGTCTCCATCTTCCTCCTGTGCCTCTATTTCTCCATGAAGAGAATGGTTTTACCAAAAAACCCCTACGTTTATTTAGTTAAAAATAGTGGGGAGAAAGGACTGGAACAAGATGATCCATCTCGCATGCTCTTCCTCTCAACTCTTTATCCTCATTTACTTTCTCAACTCATAATACAGCCCTCTTGTGATTTTATACTCTAGAAACACAGCTGTTTACATGGCAGTTAACTAGTAAGTGAATGATTGCATGGGGCTACCCAGGCTTGCAATCACTGCTTCTATCAAAAATCTTGGTGAAGTAACTGGGACGACTCTGGTTTCACTGCCAAAATGATGCGTTTTTAATGACAAGATGGCTATATCAGTGTAAAAGCAGTGTGTCTTTTGGCAGCAAAGACATAGCAGATGAACAAATTAAGTGCAGCAGGATCAAGTCCTAAGATATAATTCTTTAGACTCTTCTGGTTCTGCTAGTTTCAGGCACCAATTATGCTCCTACTAAAGGCAGTGGGAGTTTTGCCAGGGATCTCAACAGAAGCAAGCTCAAGCCCTTTGTGGACATGTACTTATTTTGCTGGCTGGGACCTTGAAGTGCTTTTCTCCCGAGCTCTGAATGACTATTGACCCATTGTCATTACACACTCCCAGCCTGTCATTTATTTTGGCAGGGACTTCTGCACACACTATACTGTGGGCCCTGGGGAGAATACACCTTAGATTTAAGTTAAACAGAAATCCTGCTCCCGAAGGTGATGACACTGCTCAACTTTGACCTGAATGTATTTAAGCATGGATATACTATGCTTTTATTTAATAAAACCTTAGCCACAAGTGAACTACGAAAATGGTTGGACTGCAAATACTGATAAGCAATAATATCTACACAGAGAGACTTACTGACTATTCAAACAAAAGCACCAGATTAAAAGGCACTAGAAACACCAAAATAAAGTTGTTTTTTTCTGCAGAGTCACATGGAAACATTTTCAATTTGGTTGAAAATAAACAGATCAAAACTGCATCCTTCCAGCACACTTGGCAACTGTGACTTTTTTCACATGACATCCATCTTTGGAAGAGGGCAGGACAAAAATCATCCAGGAAGGAAATCCTGATGCAAAATGCGTTTTCCTTTTCCGCTCTACTCAGAAGCAATCAATGAATAACACCAAAGGTTACAGTCCAATTCACATGACTCACAAACACAAGCTGTGCTTCAATAAAAGCTGACTCCATTTTAAAAATATAAAAGTGGTCTCGTGTCACTTTAATAGATAATGTCTTCCCTGTTTAAAAACCCTAAGAACTGTCAGCACTGTACTCATTTTCCAGGAACTAGCAAGCAACAGAAATTATATTAAAAGCACAAGTCAGCTTTAACGTCTTCTTGTAAACAAAAGATGCTCAAGATTGTCAAAAAAGAACTAATTTGAAAAGCCTGATTCACTGCTCATCGCCTGTCCCCTTTACCCAATTTTTGCCTCCATCTCAGTTGGAGAAAGGGTGGTTCAGCAGTTAGGGGACTAGTCTGAGAACATCAGTTCACCACCCTGCTCTGCCACCAACCTCCTGTGTAACCATGAGCAAGTCATTTAGGGCTGGACTCATTCAGGCACCCAAGTCCAAGAACACAAGTCTCAAAACCTCCATCTACCCCACCAGGTTTTAGCTGGTTCAGTTCCCTAGTCCTGCATCTGTGCAAAGCTGGAATTTGCTAAGGCTTATGTGGGCTCAACAGCTCCCCATCGCTCATGCTCAAGACTGACTTTCTCCGAGTAAGAATTCCTGCACCGATCTGCCCCGAGGGCGAGTGTAATCCAGGAGACTTTGATCAGACCTCTGACACACCTACAGGATCAGGGATCCCACAAACCAGCAGCAGTCATTGGTTTTGTTCAAAGATGAGGTTAGAGCGAGTGACAGTGCTGGTGCTTCCGCCCCCTCATTTTATACAATAGCCTAGTAACTAGAGCACTCAGCCAGAACGTGGGAGGCACAGGTTGAATTCCTGACGAAGGCAGAGGGGATTCAAACCCACATATCCCATTTCCAGCCTGTACCTCATTTTGGGGCACAAAGCTACATTCACTCCCTCTTTTTAAAGCGGGTGCATTTGAATACAAGAATTCAACATTTATTGGGCAGGAAGAGAGCAAGGAGAGACAAACATTGCAGGCTGCAGAGCAGGGCCACTGCCTGGATTCTGCATTCAGATGCCACATTCAACTTGGGGCCACTGCCTGGATTCAAGCAACAACGGTTTGATGCAAGTCATCCCGAGACCCATCAACAAGCAGTGGAGACCGTCTTTGAATTGAAGGATTGCCCCCCTCCGCCCCCTGGGTAAAACCCAGGAAGAGGCCCTGGCGTGCAAGTCTTCCCCTCCCTAGAAATACCCTAACCGCTCGGTCAGAGACTGCCGATGAACGTTGAATTACTTGACTGTAACGCCTTCAAACAGATTTTCAACCGCAAAGCTCCTGCGTAAAGGGAGGAAGTAACCCATCGCTACCCTCCACGAGCCTCTTAAAAAAAGGAGCGACCCTTCCTTAGTCTCCGTATTTATTTATTTTTTCAGGAAACGCCAACTCCAAGCAGGGCCTGGGCCGCAAAGCCCAGGCACAGGCAGGGACGCGGGGGCTGCCGTAAGTTTGGCTCTTCAGTGGGGACGTGGCAGCCCCCGAGATGCGGCCGCGAGCCGCTGCACAGCCAGGCGAGGAGCCGCGGAGGCCCCGCACGTTTCAAAGCTATATGGGCTTCTCAGTGCCCTTTGCGGACCCGCTTCCCGGGGCTCCCACCCCTCATCACGGGTGTCCTCCTGGGGGGCGCGGAGAAACCGGATCGGTTTGGTTTCAGCCTCGAGAGGCAGCGCACACGGGGGTGGGGGGAAGCAGCTCTGGATGGCAGGGAGCCGCGGGGGCTCCCAGGCGGCGTCGCAGCCCCTCTCCCGAGGCCGCTGGAGCCGGCGGGGGCGCGTTACTCACCGGCTGGAGCGGGCGGGTCCCAGGAGCTAGGACATGGCAGCGGCGCGGCCTGAGGGACAGGAGGAACCGTCAGCCCCGGGCCCGGCACTGCACCCCGCCCCACCCCCGCTGCGCCACGGGCGCGGAGCCTCCCCCCGCCCTCCTGCTGCTGCCGCCGCTGCCGCTGCCCCCGACTCCCACCTGCCTGCAGCGACCCGCCGAGCTCGCAGCTCCCTGTAGCCCTTAGCAACAACCGCGGGGCACGCCGGGAGATGCGGTCCTGCGGCACGGGCTCGGCCGCGGCTCGCGGGGCGGGGGGACTACAGATCCCGGCGGCCCCCGCGGCGGGGCGTCAGTGGCCCCATGTCGGTCATGTGACCCTGCTGCCCGGCTACGGGGGAGAACGAGGGTCAGATTTGGGAGGGAGACGGTGGTGCACGGGCAACGCCTGGCCTCAGGACCCCTCCTGCCATTAGAGGAAGGCGGGCAATTATTTCGGGCTTACTGAGTTTTGGCGAGCCATCAAGGGCCGCATGACAGGCAGCCAGGGGCAGATAAATGTTAATTTTCTAAATTTTTTTTTAATTAAAAAAATTCTAAAAGGCCTGACGGGCTGTATCCGGCCTGTGGGCCGTTTTTTGCCCACCCCTGCATTAGAGTCACCATTGCCAGGCTGTGGCAGGGCACCCCCCCAGCCCTCCCTGCTTCATCACCTGCAGCCCCAGGCTTGCTCCTGCCTGAAGGGAGTTGCTGTTTTGTGCTAAACACGCCTCTGCCTCGCTAGCCAGGCGTCCCCTTCCTCACTGGTGTGGTCGCGCTAGAAGCGAAGCAGAGCAGCGGAGATCCTGCTTATGGACCGAGATGCTGAGCGTGAGGGCCCCACTCACTCCTGTGCACCTCTGGTTATGTGTCTGCAGGGCCCTGAGTCTCTTGTCTGAGCCTAGGAGGGGAAACCTTTGGCAGCAGGAGGCAACACGCCACCATCTTTGAGTTTTTGGTCCCTTAACATGCCTCCCTGCCTGGCACCCACCGTGAGGTGATGAGGTGAATGCCATTTTGGCTGCTCCCGGGTGTACACCACCCTTCCCTCTGCCCAGCTCAGTGAATCCAGTTCAGTGTCTGCACTATTTAAAAACACCGATAGGAAAAGCAAAAAGGGCTTGCACGTGCTTGACATCCCGATGGCCAGAAGCTCTTGGTTACTGTTGGTGAAAAAGGAAAAAAATTCCCTTTTCGCATAGACGACTTAGCCACAATTCTTCGAGTAACATGTGGCAGGGCACCAGCCCGTGCATTTAGATTCAGGGAGGGAAGAGGCAAAGAAGATCAGGGAGATGAAAGAGGTTTTACCTTGTGACAAAGAGCTCATATCCAAGCAACGAGAACTTTACGTATAAGTGCTCTTGAGTCCTCCCTCTGCATTGACCTCTGAGAGACAATCTGATGTTTTGCTCAAAGGATCTGCTGTTAGGGACCATGCAGATGAGTGCCTTTCTTTTGAGAGCTGTTGCAGATGATTTTGCTGTACGACACAACAGAGAGGACAGCTGCAGAGCGGACTCCTGAGGCCCTGGCTAGTCAGCACCTAAAGCAAGTTGAGTCACCAAGCTGAGGTGGTGCCTCCAGGCAGGACCAGGCAAGCATCTTGGGAGACAGGCCTGTGGAGAGACATGTGGGCTCTTGCTGTTTACTCCTTCCAAGTGGCGAGTGGGGGCACCTTGGGAGCCTCTAGCCTAGTGGTGAGGTTGCTGGCTTGGGATGGCCAAGGAAATAACAAGTGTGATGTTATCATTGGTGTTCGGGAAGGAACTAGATACACTACTGCCAAAGGGCCTGCAATAGGAGTTCTGTATTCTTTATTTAAATATTGATTCTGTTGTGTTTTTCCAAGTGTTTGACTCTATTTTCTTTCCCTGAATGATTTCCTTGTTTTGGGTCAGTCTTGCGGTAAGTTGAAAGCAGGGGAATTCTGTGTTCAGGCACCCGCAGCAGGTGTATTTATTTTTCCCAGGTTCCTGTTGAAGCTTGAATGGTTTACTTATTTGTTGAGAAGGACCTAGATACATTGAACCCAACCCTTATTGCCACTGTTAATTAGAAAGGTCACATACCATGTATAGCCTCATGACTTCATACTTTGCTCCTATTTCTTTCTAGCTGGGTTGTTGCACAGCTGTCATCACAGGGTATGTGAATGTCATGCTTGTTATCTAGTTTCACAGCGTGGTAGGTGGGGAATGTTATTTTACTCTTTTTTGTGTAAACAGGGGGGAACTAACAAGAAAGAGCTGGAGTGACTTGTCCAACAGGCCAAATGTAGCAGAACAAGCACTGAGTGCTGTCTCCTCAGTGCCAGGCGGTGTCCTTAACTACAGGACCACCCAGTTGCTTTGGTCCTTATTCACTTACTTTTTGGGTAGGAATTTGGGAGGACTTTTTGGGTCTCTTGTTTCTAAAACTCCATGGGCACCTTCCGGTGCTGTAGTAACAGGACTTGGCCCAGGCGGGGGGTGTTACCTTATAGCTCTAGCACTGGGCAGGGGTTATGGTTACTGTCTAGTCATTAATTTAATATACTGTACACTGTTGTCAGTGAAGCTATTTCGGTACAAATTAAGTGTGTAAGGGGAGGAGGATCAGGCCCACATCTCCCATCCATCTGAGAATGGCTGAGCTGAAGTGTGTGAGGGGCAAGGATTTGTGTGGATGATATTTTCTATGGGATAAAATGCCTGGTTGGGATAAACTTTGGCCAGCTTTTTTAAATGCAGTGCATTCTTCTGGTCTGAAGCAAAAGCCCCCACAGCAAGGATTCCAGTTTTAAGCCAGCAGAGGTCACTCTGCCTCTAGTGAAGCTTCAGCCCTGCTAGAAACCAGCTGGATTGCAGCCTTTGAAAACAGGCAGTGTGTCTGCATTGCAAGGGAAGGTGTGGTGTGATGCTCACTGTAATTCCAGCTGGCCTGGGTGACCGTAGCAATGGAAACTCATGCCAGCCTGCTGTGTTCTTTTATTTGATAGAAAATAGGGTCCTGGGTTGGAAAAAGGCTCTAAAGTTGCATCTCCTTCCTAAGGCAAGTTATAGATATGAAACTGTATTAGTAAATGTTAAAAATCATAGTTACTGGTATTTACATGGCTTTGTAGAGACTGAAGAGAATGTAGGACCCCACACCTGGTAGCTACATGGTACATAGTTAGTATATGTTGATACACTCTAGAACAGGGGTGGGCAAAATGCAGCCTGGGGGCCAGATGTGGCCCGCCAGGCCATTCTATCTGGCCTGCGGGGTCCCTAAAAATTTAGAAAATTAATATTCATCTGCCCTGGGCTGTCTGTCATATGGCCCTCGATGGCTTGCCAAAACTCAGGAAGTGGCCCTCCGCCCAAAATAATTGCCCGCCCTGATCTAGAACATACAGTTAGTCATGCAGCCTACGTTAGCCCAGGGTATAAGGGTTAAAAAATGCCATTACTGTGGTGTGATAGGGAGAGACATAATGCCCTGTGCATAGTAACTGCATCAGGACAGAGTGTAAGGTGCCTAGACCTTTTGGGACAATGAATTTAGCATACAGTGTACAATTGCTGGGGTGGGGAAGAGTCAAAGGCATTAATAGTCTTTGTCAGTTATTCAAGGCTTTTTCAGTAGATGTGATATCTTTTATTAGACCAGCTGAGTGGTTGAAAAAAAGTTCTCGGCAAGCTTTCCAGTGCAAACACCCTTCTTCAGGCATGGGGAGTCTCTGCTGTTCTGAGACTCCAAGGAATGAGAGAAGCTAAAAGCCTGGCAGGAGGTCAGTGAGAATGTAAATAGGGACAAATTAGAAAGACAAAAGGTAAAGCAGGAAAGGGGAGGGGGAAAAAAGCAGGGAGGGTGGGGGGAAGGCCATAAGGAGAAACTCTAGTTAGTGGCATGTGGGGTGTTAGTCTGTTCCCTGGGTCTCGCTTCTGGCTGGCAGTCTCAGGCAGCTGCTTTTGTGTTGGCAGGGGCCGGTGATGCATAGCTGATCAACATAGCTGTCTCTTGAGCACTGGATGCTATGAGCCCCCTCATCAGTTTTGAGTAGTGGCGGGGTAGTCTACAGGTGTGCAGGACGCTTTTATTGCTTGGGTCCCATGCTCCAAGTGCTTCCACAATCAGTGCCTGCACCATCACATTGTACCCCGTCTCCCTTAGGGCCTGTATTTGGTCATCAACCTTGTTATGCCAGGCACAAGCACAGAGACAGAGAGCTTAGAGACTGACTAGACAGGACAGATGTAGGGTAGGGAAGATGGCAGCAGCAGGCCCTTGAGGCGCTCCTGGCCTGTGGCAGGCAGACCCCCTCCCCCCACGACGGCACATGGCTCCCAGGGGTGCTGTACGTGGCAGCACGGAGCCAGCCCAGCTCACTGGCACGCACCTTCAAACCAGATCAAGCTGGCTCTGGGGCTGCTAGCACTACAGGAGGGGCCTCCCTGCAGGCAGGAATGCCCCTGCCCCCTCGCCAGTTGTCCAGTCATGCACCATCGCACTCGGTGCCTCCACATGGGGCTCCCCCTTTCTGAGGGGCAACT